CAAGGTCATTGACAGCACCAAGGTAGCAGGTCCTGATGGATTCTCTGCTGATTTCTACAAAAAGGCCTGGTGAAGGGTGAAGGGTGAAATTATTGCCACAGTTTAAAGTTTTTTCTTGGGGGCTGACCTCCCCAAATACTTCTCCTCTTCTACCATTACACTGGTTCCCAAGGATAAAACTCCTTGCAAATGGGAGGATTTCAGACCCATTAGTCTCACTTCTGTCATTTCTAAATAATCAGTAAAGTCCTGGTCTAGAGATTACAACCCCACCTAAACAAGCTCATTTGCAAGAATCACTCTGCTTTCATCAGGGATAGAAGAATTGTTGATAATGTGCTCTTGGCCCAATAATTGGTACTGGACTTAGACAGAATCACTAGAGGAGGCAACTTAATTTTCAAATTAGATATTAAAAAGGTCTATGATACTATAAGCTGGAGTTTCATTGAACAGGTTCTGATTGCTAGAGGTTTCTCAACCTCCTTTATCTCTCTCATCAATAGATGGCTGTCCAATAATTACCATTCAATCTTCATCAATGGATCCTCTCATGGGTTTTTCAGTGCTTCTAGAGGTATAAAACAAGGTGATGCCCTCTCCCCTACTATCTCTATCTTAGCTTTTGACTACTTATCCAGAAGTTTGAATGAGTTGGCATCCAGGAAACCCCATTCTCTTTATAGTCACAGATCTTCCACATAATTAATCATATGACCTTTGCTGATGACATCATAATCCTTACAAAAGCTTCCAAAGTTGCATTCAAACTATTAATGAAGAATCAGGAGACCATTCAGGATGTTTCTGGAATGAAATTTAATAAACAGAAGTGCATTTCCATTTTCAGTAAGTAGTGCAAGAGTGAGTTTAAGTCCTGGGTTACTGATTTCACTGGTTTCAAAAATAGTTGCCTTCCAATTAAATACCTGGGGGATGTTCTTATCAAAGGAAGAACTAAGAACATTCATTTTGATCATATATTTGACAAGGTCCAAAGTAAACTGCAAGCATGGGAGAATTCCTTTTTATCAAATGGGGGTAGGATCACACTCCTCAAAAGTGTTCTATCTGCTTTACCATCCTATTTACTGCAAATGAACATTCTGAAAAAGTCTTCTCAGAGATTGTTAGAAGGGATCTTTAATAGATTCCTATGGGCTGGCCATATGAAGCAAAAACATTGGACCTCTTGGGCTAAGGTGTGTAAACCTGTTGGGGAGGGTGGGTTAAGATTCAAGTCTTTCTCCCAAATTATGCACACTAATTTCTGCAGACTCTGGCTCAGATTCAGATCTCAGTCCTCCCTATGGGCTAAATTCCTATGGGGCAAATATTGCAGGTATCATCATCCTAACCAACTCTCTGTGGGTTTAGGAGATTCCCCTATTTGGAAAAGGATGTTAAAAGTTAGGAGGATGTTTGGAAAAGGATGTTAAAAGTTAGGCATGATGCTGAACAATTGTTTATCTGGGAAATTGGTGAGGGCTTGGGAAGCATCTGGTGGGATAATTGGACCTTGGATGGCTGCCTTCTGCATGATCAGATTGCTCAAGCTGCCCCAGTTTTTGTGAAAGACAACTGGGCTCATGGCAAGTGGAACCTTTCTCCAATCCTTCCTTTCTGCAGCCCTTCTCAACCATCCAATATTCAGAAGATGTTTGTTAAACCTGGGGTTAAAGACAAAATTGTTATAAGAAAGAACCCAATCCCCTCTCAGCCCCCCCAACTGGTACACTGGGGTCATACCATCTGGAATATATTCCTTACCCCATCCATGTCCTTTTTCATATGGAGATTCTTCTTGAAACTGATTCCAAGTGATGATATTTTAAAATTGAAAGGGCTTAGGGGTCCTTCCAGATGCACTTTCTGCCAGTCTCATGAGGAAACTATTACCCATCTTTTCTTTGATTGCATTTGGGTACAGGATGTTTGGTCTTTTGTGATTGGTAAACTTAGGATCCCAACAATGAATCTCACATGGAAGGTTTTCTATACTAGCTGGTTTGATTGGAGGGGATCTAATCTCCAGGACATCCCCAATATTGTGGCATGGTTTGTGTGGATGGCTAGAAACCAGGCAAAGCATGATAACTCCCATCTTGATCCTATAAGGGTGGGTCTCAATTGTATTGCTTTCATTAACAAATTGATTAAATTTAAAAAGTTTGAGGCTGTCTTGGAGATTGGTCCTTTTCTCAAGCCACATATTTCCAAAGTTGTGACAATTTGGTGGACCCTCCCAAAGTTTGGCTGGACCAAAATTAACATTTATGGCAGCCACAAATCTCAGTCTGCTGGCATTGGTGGGGTTTTCAGGAACCATGAGGGGAAATGTATCTTATATTTTCAATCTCCTGTTAATGCTTTTGACTCACTTGAAGCAGAATGTCAAGCTATTTTTTGGGCCATCACCTTAGCCAGATCTTGCCTGTTAGATCAGTTATGGGTTGAATCTGACTCCTTGCAACTTGTTAACATTATCCATGGGTATTCAGATACCCCATGGAACTTAATCAGCTAGATCTCTGGTATTCATAAATTGCTTAAATTTTTCTCTATCATGTTCTCCCATATTCACAGAGAAGGAAATAGACCATCCAATTGGCTGGCTAGAAGGGGTCTCTATATAGAAGAACCTTTAGTGAGCAGAAGGATTCCCCCCTCACTGGACTTTCTTTTAACCAGTGACCTGTTGCCTCTCCCTTATATCAGACAACACCTGTAGTGGGCTTGAGAGGATGCCTTCCTTTATAAAGACCCTCTCCTGTCACCTTTTTTCTTTTCTTCCCCTTTGTATTTTGTTTTGGTTTCTTTAATGAATTGGAGCTCTGCTCCTTACATAAAATAAATAAATAGGTCCCCTAACTATAAACCAAAATACAAATGACAGCAAGAGGTTGACCAATCCACAAAAGTATAACTCACAAGAACATAGAAAAACTAAATAATGATAAAAAGAGAAGAGGAAGCCTAAAAAAACTAGAGATCTTTGAGTTGATTAGCTTTGATTCTTAGATGAGGAGCCTCGAACTTATCACCATGAAGTAGGAGAGTAAGATGGGTAGGGGTTTTGTTGCAATAGAAATGGAGTTAGTATAAAGGTCATGTCTGGTAAGCTAATTAGTAGGTTGGTTTCCTTCTTTATAGATAAAAGACATATTGACTTTAAACAGCTTGGTGAGGTTGCCAATTTTCTATTTCTAATGTATGTGATGCCAAGAGGACAATTATTCGGTGTTGAGGAAAGTAATCAGTTGAATAGAGTCCCCCTCAATCCACAGTTTATACCATGCAGCTTTCAGTGCAAAGCTTCAGTGCAAAGGTAAGGGCCAAGGTAAGGGCCTAGTAAAGAATAATAAGCTCAGCTTCCAAAGCATCATGGGCCTAAGTAGGAGCATGAATAAACAACAAACATTTGCTGGAGGAATCTCTGAAATCCCCCCAACCCCAGCGCCCCTTTAAGAAAAGCTACCATCAGTATTAATCTTCATGGTATGTTGATCAGGGGGTTGCCAAATAACTTTCTCAATCTTGTTATGACTTTTGGTTACAGTATTCTAATGCAAACTGATATTAGGTAAGTTGTTAAGTTGAATCAGCTTATTTAGGTAGGAAACACAGTTTCTAGTAACCTTGGAATGATGAATTGGCTTGTCTTCATGTTTTCTGCTATTTCTGCACATCTACAAGAACCAGGCCACAATAAAAGGGATAGAATCACCTTTATTACTATTCCAGCTATGCCATCCATCTTTTAGATTGGACCAGTCCTTATCCAATCTCTCAAATTTAATCTTAGTAAGAAGTGCCTTCCACACATCTTGATCAAACACACAGTTAAAGAAGAGGTGGTTATTGCCCTCTTCAAACATCTGGCAAAGATAGCATCTAGAAGGCCCTATCAAACCCTTAAGCTTAAGAATATCATTAGTTGGCAGCAGATTGTTGAAGAACCTCCAACAAAAGAATGATATAGAGGGGGATAATTATCTCTTCCGATAAGCTTCACCCCAAGGGACTTGATCCCAACAGTAAAGTTTGGCATAGATGGCTTTAGTCAAACTTTGGTTAACATAGCTATGCCAGATAATTCTATCTTTACATAGCTATGTAACATAGCTATGCCAGATAATTCTATCTTTGCTACCCTTATCAAAAACAATCTTAGTTACTTGAGATATGTGAGGCTCCTGTAGAATGGATTTAAGCTTAGTATTAGACCAGGAGTCTCCCTCTCAAAGATCACAAACGGAAAGGTGAGGGTTGAAATCAGAGCGCGAAGCCCCTAGCCAGTCATTAGGACACCAGTGGTCTAGCCATAAGTTCACTTGACCATTCCCCAAATCCCAAATGTACATTTCTTCAGCAAGGTGTCTAATTTTAAGCATATTAGTCCAAATTCTAGAGTCCCCCAGCTTTTTGGAGATGAGAGATGGGTATTGTCCCTTGCAGTATTTTCCTTTCATGAACATAGCCCATAGGGAAGTTTGGGCCCTAAAATTGATCCACATCTTACAGAAATTAATCTGTGTGATTTGTTGAAGTCCCTTGAACCCCATCTCACATGTCATGTTAGGTTTAGCTACCTTTTGCCAAGAAGCCCAGTGGAGCTGCTGCCTTTGACCTACCCACAAGAATCTATTTAAGACTCTTTCAAACTAAACTTGAATTCTTTTCTTCAGAAGAGAGAGATGTATAAACTGTGGATGGTCAATAAGAGTACTTCACTATATTTCTTTCCTACAAAAGAACCAAATTTTGTTATTCTTGTTAGCATAATGAGAAAATCCATGAAATTTGCTAATAATTTTGTGGGAGTTTTGCTGAACCATTGCTTCTAGTATAGCAAAACACCATAGTTTGTATTTTTTGTTGAGAAAGATTAGTCTTCTTAAAGACTGGGGATGGGCAATGCCCCTTATATTCTAAAACAGAATATTAATCATTGGAGGGATTAAAGTGAAGAGAAGGCTGAGATCTTGATCTGGTCCTTCCTCTAGAAGGAGAAGGCCCTCTAATCTTCAGTACATCCGTGCTCCCATTGTTTCCTTTTTTTAGTTTCTGAACCTCTGATAATAACTTTTTCTTCTTCTTAAATTTTTGTGTTTGCCATTCCTCTTCCATTAAGAGCTTCATCTTAGCTATATCTCTCTTCTCAGGGGCTTCTAAGACTGTGATATCCTTCTAGTTATTCTCCCTAGATTCCTCACCTTCATCTAGCGAATCAGTTAGGGGGGTAATAATATTTACTTGATTTTCCTCCTCCCTGAAGTATCTTGGGGATAAGTTAGTAGGAGCATTAGAGCTAAAATGAGTTGTTGAGCTTTTGGATGTGCCCAATATATCCTCCAAATTCATAGTTGGAGAGGGTTCCACACAAATTGTAGTTCTGGAGGAGTGGACTGATTAATCTTTTTCTGAGTAGACACATTTTTCTTTGGAGTGGGGTGAAGTATGAAGCATCTATCTTTGGTGTGTACACACATCTTGCAGTGGTAGCAATAATATGGTTTCTGTTATAATACCACATTATGTCAGAACCCCTCTTTATCAGTACCAATCCAGAGCCTTTTAATTTCATGGAGAGTTACATCTCTTTCTATAAGGAATCTAGCTAGAGCTGGTCTAGTTTTGTTATATGCAGGAGCATCAACCTTCAGAGGTCTTCCTAGGGCACTTGCAATATGGAATAGAGCATTGAGGTTAAAGTATTGAAATGGGAGGCCGGGTAATTTAAAACCATAGGGGAACTATATGAGGTTCCTTACTAGGATTGAAATCATGATCCCACTTCAATATCTTCATGGCGATACCTTCAATCTGAAGAGCTTATTTTGCAAATGATCTTGCATAGTCTTTCTCACCTGAAAGTTGGATAAGTAGATGCCTACCATCAAGTATTCCAATATGTCAATCTCCATTGAATTTTAAAGAGTCAAAGTAGTTTCTGACTAATTCCATTTTAGGGTGGCCTAGAAGAAATTTTCCTACCAAGGTAAACTTCACTTGTTTATTTAGATTGGGGATTTTCTGTGGAGAGAAATAAACAGCTGGTTCCCCTTCTTTGTAACTAAAAGGATGAATACAAGGGCTGTTACCCTTTCCAGCAGCTGTGTCATGGAAGTTCAGTGGGAAGACTAAGTGATCAGGATCACTAAGAGAAACATTAGACTTGCCCACCACCCCAGCATAAGTGGCCTTAGACCCCTGAGCATCAGTCACTATGTCAATAGGGGTAGCCATATTAAAACTAATGGACACACCAAAAAAGCAAACCCAACAACAAAAGCTCCAGCAAATCACAAAAATGTCAAGAAAAAATCCTGTGTGCTCTGGAAAGACCAAACAGAAAGGCCAAAACTCACAGTAAAGTCCAAACCAATAGTACAAAACACCAAAGGGGAAGGAGTTTCCTCCAAAAAAATAAGGAGGCCAGAAGAGGCTTCCCACAGATGCATAAGCAACCCAAAACCAGAACAAACCAATGGAACAGTAAAGCCCTCCAAAGTACCAAGGATAAGGGTCAGAGAAGCTGACTCCCAAGGCAAAAGGAGGCAAGAAGAAGCACCTCTAGAGAGACAGATGCAGCACCACCCACAAAACCACCCCCAGCAGAGCTTCATCCTGCCAAAAACCCTAGCAGAGCACCTTCTCCTCCAGCAACCAGCATCTTGTTATATATATATATATATATATATATACACACACCTGAAAAAATGGAATTGGGAAAGATTTGGGAATGTTAATGAACAGCTGGAGGTCATCCAAAAAGAAGTCCACAGTTTGGAGGAAGGCTTACAAAGGGGGATGAACTCTGAATATGAGGTTCACCTTGCCAATGAGAGACTCCTTGCACAAATCAACTACCATGAATGTTTCTTAAAACAAAAAGCTGCTGTCACTAAATTTACTGATGGTGATAGAAACACTAGATACTATCATGCCTGTATCAATCATAGAAGGAAGAGTAACATGATTTTAAACATAACCAACTTCAATGGCAGGAAGTTAACCAATGCTGATGAGACAGCTTATGATGCAGTCCAACAATTCCAAAAGCTGTTCACCAAGGAGCAGGATTTTAGAAGCCCAATTGAAACTGAGATGTTCAGTAACTGTCAGCAATATGTGCGTAATTTAAATCTCACTAGTACCCCTTTGGAAGATGAGATAAAACAAGCCTTAGATTCCATTGATGGTCTCAAAACTGCTGGGCCTGATGGCTACACATCTGCCGGGCCTGATGGCTACACATCTACTTTCTATAAAGCCACATGGGATAGGACTAAACATGACATTATGCTTGCTTTCCAAAACTTATTTCTAGGTGTGGACCCCCTTAAATATTTCATTGCCTCCACCATCACTCTGATACCTAAGAATCAAAACAGGAATACTTGGGGGGATTACAGGCCAATCAGCCTAACCAATGTGATCTCCAAAATAATCAGCAAAATCATTGTGTTTAGGCTGCAACCCCATCTCCATCATCTGATTAGTGACAACCAAGTGGCTTTTATT